TTTCAGGTACCATATTATATATTGGACTAAAGGTAATGCCCAACCCAGAAAAGATTCAACCGCCAGACACCTTGTACATAAGCAAGAAACGAAAACCTTAATCCGTCTGGGAAGCCCCCACTCTGCTCATGCGTCGAAAAGCGGCTTCTTCTTGGTGCGAATCGGTCCTTCGCTCTAGCGAAACCTCTTCAGATCCTCTCAAAGATCAACATGAAGGTACCCCTCTCTCTCTCGTCTCTCTTCCCGTTTTTACTTTCGCTCGAGATTTGCAGTTTTCCTGATGCATTTGTTTCCCTCTCTGTAATCATGAAGTTCAACACAGCGAATCCAACCACTGGTTGCCAGAAGAAGATTGAGATCGACGATGACCAGAAACGGTAAGTTGAACCCTTTTCTGGGTTGAAGTTGCCTGGATGTTTTGGATGGGTTGTGGCTGTTCTTATACGGGATTCTATGAAGCTCTTAGTTCGGTTCTTGTTTTTTTTTTTTTTTCCATTTTTGCGATTGGATTTATTGTGGGTAATGTTGAATTGGTCAAGTGGGTACTAGCCCCTGTTCAGTTCCTTGTGTTTGGGCGTCTACTGCTAGTATTCTGTGTATTCATAGATGGGAACTATTGCTCTTCTCGCTCATGTGATGTGGAGACTGATATGAATGTTTGCCTTTTCAGTTGGAATTACTTACTATATCGATTTAACAGGAATGGAAATAGCGCTCACATGGTCTTCGACGATTAATTCGGTTTTGCATTTAAGGGGGCGTTTGGCAACTTGCCAAATAGTGAAAATTTCCGTTCTTTTGTTCCCAGAATCAGTTTGAGAACAGAAATCCGTTTGTTAAAATATTTGTGCCCGAGCACAAATTTGCAAAAAATTGTTCCCAGAATCAGTTTTGGAACAGAATCAAGAAGCAAAAAAAAAGTAACTTCTTGATTCTGGAACAATTTTTCCATTTCTGATTCTTCTTGGTTTTCTTCATCCTTTTTTATTTGTTCTTCATCTTCTTACCGGTCTGCCACCGGCACGCCGCCGGCGACTGGCGACCGGCGGCCGGCCCTCACCGCCCCCGGTGACGGCGAGGGCCGCGAGGCCCTCGCCGGCCCTAGCCTGCGCCGGTGACCAGCCATGGCCAAGGAAAGGAATATAAAAAAAGAAAAAAAAAGAAAAAAGAGGAAAAAAACAGAGAAAAAAATATTTAAAAATTCAAAATATTATTTAAAATATTATTAATAAAAAGAAAATTTGTGTAGTTACCAAACGCATTTCTGTTCTTTTTCTATTCTAAGAATAGAAATTTTGGGCAGTTACCAAATGCTTTCAAATGCTTAGAAATTGTTCCTGGGCACAGAATAAAAAAGAATCATTTTTGAGCAGAATCAGTTTTCGGGCACAGAATCGTTGTCATGCGCACCCTAAGTATCCGAAGCGTAAAATTTGATTTTTATTCTTTTGGGTGCTCATTTTTCGTGGTCCCCCTCTATCTTTTTTTGGTGACCAGAGTGATGTATCTTGCTGGCCAGAACATCTTATCACAACCGTAGGATCTAATTTCCTGAATTGCCAATATTAAAATGTTGAATTGTTGGATTTTATGGACTGATTGTGGGATGGGGTAATCGATGGGGAGTTTTTTTAGGGGTATTCCAAATTAGGTGAGAAAAGTTGCTTATTGTTGATTTAAACTCTAAACTAGGAAAAGAAGGAGAAAGTTACTGATGATATGATGCATTTCTGAGTTGTCTATTATCTTGCGAATGTGGAAGCATTGGTACCTCTTGATGGTGCAATGGGTTTGGTAGCCAGTTGGTGTTCATTTAATCTAGTTACTAGTACAATTAGCAAAACCTGGATTATTAGTAAAATTCCAACACTAGATATTGGCCTTGATCTAGATCAACCTCATTGTTTAAGAAGTACACTGCGCATAAAAATTTGACCTTTTATTGGCATGAATATCTGACCCAACTTTTAGTATTAAAGAAAAGCTAATTCTTTATCGCTTAGATAATATGTCCAAAGCAGGCGGACTATATTTGTTAATTTAGTTTAGCTCTGAAATTAACTGAGAATTTTTTTTTAACATTTGGGATACAATTTGGTTTTGTCTGGCTACCCATGTTCGTGGAGGCCATGCTGCGGCACCAGATCTTATTGAATTGAAACCAGTATCACTTGCATTTCAAACTTAAGGATTGGATCATAACAAGTTAATGGATCTCCTAAATCTTAAGTCTTATTTTATTGTTTTTCTTCAGAAATATCATTATCTGTAGCGGTTAATGACCAATTGTCTCTATAGCTAAAGAAAAGGGATGTGGAGTAATGACATCTTTATAATCTTTTCCATGCAGTTGGGCGGTTTTTGACAAGAGGATCTCGCAAGAAGTCAGTGGAGATGCTCTGGGTGAGGTATGTGTCCGCAATAGTTCTATGGAGCTTTTGGCCAATTTTTTTGATCAGTTCCATTATTGATTATCCTCTATGTGAGGCAGGAATTCATGGGCTACGTGTTTAAGAAAATGGCAGGCTGTGACAAACAAGGGTTTCCTATGAAGCAGGGGGTGCCGACTCCTGGTCGTGTTCGTCTCTTGCTCCATCAAGGTAAGGTTCGACTTTTCGAGTGCACGGGTACATAGTCGGGGCAATTCTTGCATATAAGCTGAAGTTATGTCAGCTATGTATATTTTAAACTTGTTGCACAGCTTGGTTATAGGAGACCAGATTGTATAGAAGTGTCTGTTGAAGGACAAATTTGATTTGTCCGACAGGTACTCCTTGCTTCCGTGGATATGGTAGGCGGAATGGGGAGAGGCGAAGTGAGTTTGAGGATGCATCTAGAGGCAGCCGTGACGGTGGCGGGAAGGCGAGACCGACCAAATCTGGTCGGTGACGCCACTGGTCCATGACCGGCGAGGCAACTCGTCCACAGACAGGAACCTTTGCTTGTCCTTGGCCGGTGATGCTGGTGGTCCTGATCTGGAATCGTGCCTCCAGATCTGGACAACGACGACGACTTCCTCCAAGTCCGGCGAACGGCCACGGATGAGCCACAACGACTACGAGCTCAAAAACAAAAGGGAAAAACAGAGGAAGATGAAGGCGAAGATGGTCCGATGCACAGAGGAAGACGAACCCGAAGATGACCACCGCGTGCCAACCCTTCGTCATCTTGGTAGCTCGCCCATTGCCCCACCTGATCTCGAATCTCCAAATCTAAGCCTCTACCCTGCTTCTTTCTTTCTTTTTTTGTTTTTGTTGTTTTCGCATCCAAATTTTCAATGTAATTTTTAATATTATAATTGAACAAAGTGATATTGTTTGTGTTAAAAGACACGTTTTGGATTTTATCAAACTCTGTTTATTACATTATGACCACATGGACCAAAAGAGAAGTAAAAATAATCAGCTCGGATTTTTCAGTCTTACTTAAGTTAATGGAGCTAAAGAAAGGACTAACGTGAAGGACAATAAAATTTTTTAGGAATTAAATGAACAAGAAAATAAATTTTAGGACTAAATTGTCAAATCAACACAAATTATAGGATTACCATTATTGTTTCACCCCTTACTAGAGTTGTCTGGGCTTAGCCTCCCTCGTCAATTGCGCGAGAGTCCTTCTCTTGAGCAATCTCAAATACTAGAGATAATTGTGACCTCCGATTTCAACATTCTAGAATTAGTTTATATGCACCACAAACTCTCTCAATCGCGCTTTATAACTTTCTTTGATACCACCTGTCATAGATTGACACTTGAGAGACACTTAGACTCCTTTTGACTCGTTCACCCTTTACTAAGAGTCATCTAGGCTTAGCCTTCCCATTGTCACTATTCTCTCACTGGCTTAGCTTCCCTCGGATCGTAGAGAGTGAATATAATGCTTAGGAAGAGAATGCTCCATTGCTTTTCTCGTGTTGGATTGGTGGGTGTTCCAAATGAAGGACAGAAGGAGCCTTATATATACATGACCCCATCGAATTGTAACATTAGATTTCCCCCTTGTCTGATGTTGGAGATCCAATCTTTCAATCTACCATCTACACCCGAGAATGTTCTAGAAGATCCAAAAAAAAAAAAGAGCCTAGACCTCTAGAAGCTCGAAAGTATGCACGACCATCTTGGCCATCTCCTTGCCCTATTCTACCTCGAATAATTCCCGTCTGTAACATGTGCCGGCAATGGTGTTTATCATTGGCGATGAGCTGGGAGGTCCATTGGAATATGGTATTTACTTCGGGGGGGTATTTCGAGAAAAATCCAATTGTAGAGTTACTTCTATTAAGATGAACAAATTTAGGAAGAGAAGAGGCTACTTCATTCCAAGGTCAGGGCATATCACAAGCCTATAATGTCTCACAGTGGATTTAGAGATGTGCATAGAGATCAAACCTTATCAGCAGAGCCAACCCATTTTGGCATTATGGAGTTACTTAATGAAACTGCGTCTATTTTTTTTATTTATATTTATATTTATATTATTTATATTTTATTTTTATCTTTTGGGGTACACAATTTTGCAAACACCAAAATGAAGAGAAAAAAGAAGAAGGAAAAACAGGTCATTCTACTTCTTGGCTCCGTTCGTTTGGCGGAAAATATTCTCCCGGAAAATATTTTCCGGGTTTTCCGGTGTTCGGGGGACGGAAAACGTTTTCCGTGGGAAAATATTTTCCTTCCCCCCTCACAAAATAGCCTAAGTCTATGGAAAATGACTTCCGCTTCTTCAAAAGCGGAAATCATTTTCCGGAGCTGCTTCTTCTTCTTCTTCACTAAAGATCGTCGGCCGCCGCCGCCGGTCGCCGCCGGCCGCCGCCGCCGGTCGCCATCGGGCCGCCGCCGCCGCCGGCGAAAAATATTTTCCGAAATTTTTTTATATTGATCACCGAACACCAGAAAATTATGTTTCGGAAAAATATTTTTCAGGAAAATGTCTTCCGAGCCAAACTAACGGAGCCAGAAAAAGATTCAACCGCCAGACACACTGTATATAAGCAGAGACGAAAACCCTAGCTGCTCAGGCGGTGAACAGCGGCTTCTTCTCGGTGCGGATCGGTCCTTCGCTCTAGCGAAACCTCTTCGGATCCTCTCAACCATCAACATGAAGGTACCCCCCCTCTCTCTCTCTCTCGTCTCTCTTCTCGTTCTTACTTTTCGCTCGAGACTTGCAATTTTCCTGATGCATTTTTTCCCCCCGCTCTGTGATCTTGAAGTTCAACATAGCGAACCCGACCACTGGTTGCCAGAAGAAGCTCGAGATCGACGATGACCAGAAACTGTAAGTTGAACCCTTTTCTGGGTTGAAGTTGTTGGGTGTTTTGGATGGGTTGTGGCTGTTCTTATGCGGAATTCTTCGAACCTCTTCGTTCGTTTCTTGTTTTCTTCCATTTTTGTGATTGGATTTGTTTTGGGTATTGTTGAATTGGTCAAGTGGGTATTGGCCCCTGTTCAATTGCTTGGGTTGGGGCGTTTACTGCTAGTATTTTATATATTCATAGATGGAACTATTGCTGTTCTCGCTTATGTGATGTCGAGCCTGATGTAAATGTTTGCTTTTCAATTTGCCTTATTGATTCGAGTGAACATACTCGTAAAGTGATTACACAATTCACGTGAGTGGAATTAGCGCTCACGTGGTCTTCAACGTTTAATTCTGTTTTGCATTTTAGTATCTGGAGCCTAAAATTTGAGTTTTATTCCTTTGGGTGCTCATTTTTCGTGGTCCCTCGATCTTTCTGTGGTGACCTGGGTGATGTATCTTGTTGGCCAGAACACCATATCACAACTCTAGGATCTAATTCCCTGAATTGCCAATACTGAAATGTTAATTGTTGAATATTAGGGTCAGATTGTAGGGTGGGATGACCGATAGGGTTTATTTTGGGGGGTTATTTCAACTTATGAAAGTTGCTTATTGTTGATTTAAACTCTAAACGAGGGAAAGAAAGTGAAAGTTGCTGATGATGGATACATTTCTGAGTTGTCTATTATGTTGCGAATGTGGAAGCATAGGTAGCTTGTGATGTTACAATGGGTTTGGTAGCCAATTGGTGTTCTTCTAATCTAGTTAGCGATACAATTAGCAAAACCTGGATTTTTAGTAAAATTCCAACAATAGGTTTTAGCCTTGTTCAAGATCAACCTCACTGCGCATAAGATTAGCCTTGTTCAGGAGTACACTGCGCATAAGATTTGACCCTTTTGCATATATATATCTGACCCATTTTGTTAGCATTAAAGAAAAGCTAATGTTTTATTTCTTATATATGTGTCAAAGCATGTAGACTATGTATATTAATTTAGTTTATCTCTGAAAGGTAATTTTTTTCCTACATTTTGGATACAATTTGGTTCTATCTGGCTACCCATGTTCTTATAGGCCGTGCTGCGGCATTAGATGTATGGATTCTAAACCAGCATTACTCCCATTTCATAGTAAAGGATTGATCTGTATTAGTTTAATAGATCTCCTGAGTCCTAAGTCTTATCTTATTGCTTTTCTTCAGAAATATAATGATCTGTAGAGGTTGATGGCCAATTGTCTCTGTAGCAAAATAAAGGTGATGTGTGCTAATGACTTCTTTGTAATCTTTTCCATGCAGTCGGGCTTTCTTCGACAAGAGGATCTCACAAGAAGTCAGTGGAGATGCTCTGGGGGAGGTATGTGTCTGCAATAGTTCTATGGAGTATGGAGCTTTTGGCCATTTTTTTGATCAGTTACGTTATTGATTATCTTCTATCTATTGCAGGAATTCATGGGCTACGTGTTTAAGATAATGGGAGGCTGTGACAAGCAAGGCTTTCCAATGAAGCAGGGAGTGCTGACTCCTGGTCGTGTTCGTCTATTGCTTCATCGAGGTTCGTTTGTCTGTGCAAGTGTAAATATACAGGACTTGGGCCATTCTTTTATAGGCTGAAGTTATGTCGGCTATGTATATTGCAAACTTGTTGCACATCTTGATTAGGTGATCATCTTGCGTAAAAAAGTCGGTTGAAAAACAAAATTGATTTGTCTGACAGGTACTCCTTGCTTCCGTGGATATGGCAGGCGGAATGGAGAGAGGAGAAGGAAGTCTGTTCGAGGATGCATCGTCAGTCAAGACCTCTCTGTTCTGAACTTGGTTATTGTGAAAAAAGGAGAAAATGATCTGCCTGGTTTGACTGACACTGAGAAGCCAAGAATGAGAGGTCCAAAGAGGGCATCAAAGATCCGGAAACTGTTTAACCTGTCGAATGAAGATGACGTCCGGAAATATGTCAATACATATCGCAGGACCTTCACTACTAAATCTGGTGAGGGTTTCTATCATCATTCATCTTAATTTTCTTTTCCTGTTGGCTTATTAAATGGCATCGATTCTGATTTGACTTTGATTCTTTAATGTTATGTTGATTTATAAACACGTTCTGCTCTCTTTTCTCGTCTTTCGACAGGGAAAAAGGTCAGTAAAGCTCCGAAGATTCAGAGGCTGGTTACGCCATTGACATTACAAAGGAAGCGCGCGAGAATTTCTGACAAGAAGAAAAGAATCGCTAAGGCAAAGGCGGAGGCAGCTGATTACCAGAAGCTTCTCGCTACCAGGTTGAAGGAGCAGCGCGAGCGCCGCAGCGAGAGCTTGGCTAAGAAGAGATCCAGGCTGTCTGCTGCCTCAAAGCCTTCTCTTGCAGTTTAGGTTGTTTTTACTGTTTTGATGAGCAATTTTAGTTCAGGCAAATTTTGGCTGTTGAGGATTCAGGGGGATTGTCAATGTGGAGTTGTTTTATATATAGCTTTTAGCCGCTCTGCCTTGGAATTCAGGGACGTTTTATCATTGGGTTGTTGCTTGTTCCTTAAGTCTTTGAACTTGAAATTTTATTTTTAGAAAGTTGAGTTGGGCACACATGCGGGTTGAGTGATTTAGGTTAGGCAATAGGAATGTGGAGACAATATTTATGGGTTTCAAAGCTGCTGATGTGGCGTGCATATTTTGCTCGCATCCATTGATAGATTGACACATGCTCGTTGATGTGAAATTGGATAAATAAAAATTGATAATATGCTATACGCAAGCCTTGCTTGACCTTGGCCGGTGATGCGGGTGGTCCAGATCTGGCGTGCGAACCCTTCGTGGTCTTGGCGGCCTGCCTGTTGCCCGTTTAGATTTGGATTTGGAGTCGTGCCTTCAGATTTAGGGCCTGATTGGTAACCGGCCAAACAATGTCTGATTTTATTCTTTTGTTGCTGGGAAAAAAAAAAGAACAGAAATTTGTTTGGTAATTTTTTTGTTCCCAGGCACAAATTTGTTTTTAGAATTAGTTTTGGAACAGGTTCAAGAACGGGAACAAGAATCAGAAATGAAAAAGAAATTTGTTTTTTCATTTTCTTCTTTTCTGGCCGGTGAGGGCGAGGGTTGGACTCTCATGGCCTGGGTGTGCGCTGCCCTCGTCTAAGCCGCAAGCCGCCCTCGCCTAAGCCGCAAGCCTCCCTCATCGGATCTTGCCGAGGGTTGGACACTCGCGGCCTGGGTGAGGGTCGCCCTCGCCGAACCCTTGCCAGATTCAGCAAGGGTGGCTCGCGGCCTGGTCGAGGGTGACCCTTGCCTAGGCCGCGAGGGCGGCCCTCGCCCAGGCCGCGATGTTGGCCTCGCCTGTGGCTGGTGAGGGCCGTGACGCCCCGCCGGCCTTGGCCTGTGGCCAGTCGCCGACGCCGGCGGCTTGGCCATGGGCCAAGAAAGGAGAAGAAGAAAAAAAAGGAAAAAAAAAAGGAAAAAAATATTAAAAAATTCAAAATATTATTAATAAAAAGAAATTTTGTGCAGTTACCTAATGTATTTATGTTCTTTTTCTATTCCAGAAATAGAAATTTTAGGCAGTTACCAAATGCCTTCAAATGCTTAGAAATTGTTTCCGGGAATGGAATAAAAAAAATCATTTTTGAGCAGAAATTATTTTCGGGAACAGAATGATTACCAAACACACCCCTAGCCTCTACTTTGTTTCTGTTTTTGTTTTTGCTTTTGAGCTCATAGTCCATGGTTAACGGGATCTTGAGTCGTTGTCACTGGATATGTGGATGAGCTACTGTCCATGGCCGACTACTCGAGCTGTCGTCATCCAGATCCATGGATGAGGGCGTTGCTGAGGATGAAGACACCCTTGTGTAGACATGGCCATGGCCCGGTTTCGGCTCGGAATCTGCTCGGGTCAAACCCGGGACCGGCCCGTGGTTCGGAACCGACCTGAAATCGCCGGTTTCGGGCCCGGTTCCAAAAAAAAAAACTGCAGATAAGTGGAAAAACTCTTTTTTTCCCCAAATTTGATTACAATGTACATTTTGATTACATTTTATATTGAATAATTCATTATTTCATAATTTGATAATTCATTATTTTTTATTTCATAATTTATTTTTTCAATTTTTACCGGCCGGTTCCGAACCGGGCTGGAACTGGCCACGAACCAGAACCGGCCGGTTCCGAACCGTGGCCATGTCTACTCTTGTGGACGAGCCTAAATATGTGTGAATGTTATTAAGCAGATGCACGCCACGTCAGATACTGATACGGTGCTTTAAAATCACTAAAGATTTTCTTAGATTGTGATATCTTTTTTTTTTATGATTTATACACACAAAAGGCATTGTATGAGAAAAAAAAAGTTAATACTTTTTAATAAGAGAAAAACGGCAAAAACCAAAGAGAGAGATGGGATGGCGAGGGCTTGAAAGGGGGCGATAATATGACGCCCCTTTAACTATTCTGAAGGACAATAATGAATTTTTAGGGATTAAATGAATGAGAAATTTTTTTTAGGACTAAAGTGTGAAGTATAAACAAATTATAGGATTTTCCCATTATTGTTATTGTCCAAAAGAATTTCTATAACTTGTCTAAGTAATTACTTGCCGGGACCAAAAGAAATATGGTCATGTAGGGCTGCAGGCGTCTATCTTGGTCGCTTTGGAGAGGCCTCGGAGCCCCATCCCGCAATGCAACCTCTCGCCTTCCTCAACCTCCGTCCACCTCCGCCGCTCACGGTGCCTCACTGCCACTCTCCGACCGAGCTCGCGACCGACGGGGCGTCGACGCCGCCCAAGCAACGGAGGCCGGAGATGGTGGGCGGTCGCGGAGGAGGAAGACGACCCGGAGGACGACCCCGGAGGACGCGGCTCGAGCGCGGGCGGGAGAGAGTCTCGACCCGTCCGACATTGGATGGCTCCGGCGACGAAAGTGACGACTACACCGACGGCGATGCTCCTCCTTGGCACCTTCCCTTCTTTCAGAACCGCGCTTTCGAGGAGTACTACAAAGTTTGTCTCTCTGTTCTGTTCTGTTCAATTGGAATGAAGTTGATATCTCCAAGACTTACTAGTTGTTGTGGACTCATCGTGCTCGTGTGGTTTTAGGAACAAGGGGTAGTTTCAGCAGATGAGTGGGATGCTTTCATGGAGTATCTCCGGAAGCCGCTGCCGGCTACCTTCAGAATCAATTCTTGGTGATTGTCTGATCCTCTCCCACCTGTCAATGTAAATGACTATAACTATCTAGCCATGCTTTTTGTCTGCCAGTAGCTTCAACAGGGACTGTGGAACTTTTTTTTTGTTATAAGTTTGTAATATGGTCTAGTTTTGACATTTCGGGATTATGGAATTATGGAATTATGCCACTCCATGCATTGGGTTAACTGGGATAGTACTTTGCATATTGGACCACTCCCTTCTCTATTAGTTTAAGCGTTTAGGTAGACCGGTGACGACTGGGTCTTATTAACTCTATTTCAAGTTCGAGATGGATTGATTGGGTTGTGATTAGAGGGAGTGAGATGTCTGATAGCAATTGGCTATTCAGTGCTTCATTGTCGGCTGTCAATTCCTTTGGTTCTTTGGGATCAAATTGAACAGTTAAAACCAATTTTTTTCATTGTTTTGAGGCATGATCTCTCCAATTTTTCTGTTTCACTTGTTTTTGTTCAAACTGATTTCGTTTATGTCAATGTGACACTGTAAATTCTTTGCAGTGAGATTCATTATCCATTTTTTATCAGCCTGTTTTCTTTTGCAGTAGCCGATTCTGTTTCAATATCCGGTCTCAGTTGGAGAGTGAATTCTCAAATAATCTTCAAGCAGAGGTAAGCTGCGTTCACCCGCGAAAATGTTTTGCCACCCTTTCGACTATTTGGGCCTTTTTCCTTTTATTTTCTACTTACCTTTTTCCATTTTTTCTCTTCCAGTTCATTGATGGAAATGAAGTAGAGGCTGTCAGACCATTGCCTTGGTATTCTGACAATCTAGCATGGCAATCAAATTTTTGTCGAAAGCAATTGAGGAAGAACCCAAATCTTGAAAGGTAATCTGTTATACTGAATTAATTAGGAGCGGGAATTGAAATAAGTAGAAATGAATGTGTCTGAGGCAATAAATTATACACTCACCCAGGAATTGACATGGCGGAGCATGTGCCGACCATTTTCTCATAGTCAGATAATTGATAGTGGAGATTCTTGGTGCATGTTCCCTATTCATGATTTACTTTAAATTAGTGTAAATCTTAGTGATCCTGGGAATTTCCTAAATGTTTAGTTTAGTTTAGCAGACTTTCCATCTTTGATGCCTGTCCAGGAGTTTTAAAATGTTAGGTTTACTTTTCTCTGCTGATGGAGCTCATTGGAATTTTGGAACCTATTTTTATATATCGGTCTTGACATTTCACTGGTAAAGTGCCGCCTGGTGAAAATGAATCCAAATTGCAGCAGCGCAAGAAGTAGAAATTCATGGTTTTCTCTTAAGTATGTGCATTAAAAAAGACCTCTTAATTTTAGATATTATCGTCTTGTGATAGTGGTCCTCTTTTTAGTGGTAAATCTTTCTAAATGAAATAGTCAATCTACCAATTTTTAGGCCTTCCTTTTGACTTGAGAAACAACAAAATCAGATCTTTGCCGGTGCAGGTTTCTAGAGCTTGTTAGCTTCTAGCTAATTGCTTTGGTACAGTAGCTATCTTGTGTTGCGAGGTGCTCTAACTGTGGTTGTTAAATGTGCTTTCTGGCATATGTTCATGGGCGTTCTAATTTAAATTATTTAAGTGAGAGATTTAATATTTTTGTCAATATATGAATAAAGTTTCGAAAGCCATAAAAGCCACTGCTCCAAAAGCACTGATGAGGTGCTTCCTATAAGCCGTTTGTGGAGTGCTGTGGCTTCTATTGCACTGTGGATCTTAGGGCGCTGTGACTTTAGAACTGCTGCCAAAAACTTTGTTAGTCTAGTCTTTTAAGTTTACCTTCTTGTGATCAATCTCTGTATTGCACACGTCGTGCTTATGCTCTGTGGATGATCCATTCACCTATCTCGGCATCTTTCTTTAGAAGGAAGAAAAGACACCAGATTGTGTGGAATTCGGTGTTTTCTTAGTCTCCAAAACTCATGCTCGTCCATTCCAACCTCCTTTTTATTGAATTTGCATGTAATGTTTCTGTTTTCGGCCTTCTTGAGTTAAAAGTCTTGACCTTGGATATTAAAATTTATGTTGTATATTCAACTTTGCATTCGTCCTGCTCTACTTTCGTTCAAATCTTTTCCGTCACAGAAACATATTATGTTCTCTTTCTCTAGCTAAATTACTCAATCTGGAATTGTCACCTGCATCTGTCATGATATTACAAGTTCAGTTACTTATCTCCATATTATGAATGGACTCATTATATTGCGAGTAAGGCCATTTGCACTTCTCTCTGACAAATTTCAGGTTTCATGAGTTTTTAAAGCTAGAAAACAAAATTGGAAACATCACTCGACAGGAGGCAGTCAGCATGGTAACTTTTCAGAAGCCTTCCAGTTTTAGTTGGTCTTGTTATTGTTCTTAGCCTTTCTTGTTTTCTTTTTGCTTGCTTTTGTTGGGATATTCTACTGTAAAGTTTTGCATTCACTTCTGGTTCATGGTCTCTTTTTTCTGCAGGTACCTCCTCTTTTACTGGATATATCTCCAGAGCATTTCGTACTTGACAGTGAGCGATCTACAATGCATGGATAGATTTCATACTCCCTCCATCCCGCTGACTTTTCCTCTGAATATTGAGATAGGTGTTGAAAAAAGAAAACCGAAAACCATAAAGCCCAATCAGACTGCACTGAACTCGATTGATAATTTGGGTTTGTTTGGTTTGGGGTGGAGAATAATTTGACCAGGGTGTTCATTTGGCTCTTGCTGTTTTGCAAATCCAATAAAACCTAACCAAACTGATAACCTTGTTAATTGATAGCAATTAATATATAAAGATCAATAAGCAATACATCTATGCAGCGTCTCACACTTGAAGATTGAAGAACTTTTTAAACCTCATTGTGAATTCAAATTGCATCGCCCACTTCCTCCCTTCTTGTTACACCCCTGAGAGAGCCTAAGACAAAATCTAGTACTTTCTATGCTTTTGTTGTTTACCCATGTAAATTGTTTGTCATGTTATATTGTTTATTGTTACTTTGTCATTCCTTCACTAGTTTATAGATTCTTCATTTTTAAATCTTGTACCGCTTTCTTTTTGAATGGTTATAGGAGGAAGCATTTTTAAATATACTAGGAGTGTTGAAAGAGCTTCTATAGGGTCCCTAAACATTCTTCCTGAATAGGAGGTTTTGAAAGGGAAATCAAAGTATTTTCTTCTGTACGAGAGCAAGCATATGTAAAGCACAAAGATGAAATGTTAAAAGCAAAATGTACTTCAGTACCCCCAAAAGAAAATATTTTAAGGAATAAAAATTATTCTCAAGCATTTTGATAATGTGCCAAACCTGAGCTCTTTCTGATAACTTCTTTTAATTCTATGCAGTGTGTGCTGCGCCTGGCTCAAAAACTTACCAAATGCTTGAAATTATGAATCAGTCCACCAACTCAAGATTGCTACCTGAGGGGCTGGTAGGCTTCCTTACAACATGGTGTCTTACACTCTCATAGAACCTGGTAGTCTGCAGTAATTTCTGTTCTCATCTGTGATGAACTGCATGCTGATAGCTTAAAAAACTTAGACTTGATTTCAATGTTGTCTGTGTTCTTTTTGTTAGATTGTGGCAAATGATGTTGGTTTCAAAAGATCTGATGTTCTCATTCACAAAATGAAAAGAATGTGCACTGCCAACTTAATGGTCACAAACCATGAAGCTCAAAATTTCCCAGGCTGCCTTACAAGCACAAGTCATTCTAATGCTTCTGAAAAGGGTAGCCTATCAGATCGGGAAATCAGTCAAATTTTATTTGATCGTGTGCTATGTGATGTGCCATGCAGTGGAGATGGTACTCTTAGGAAAGCTCCAAATATTTGGTGGAGATGGTACTTATCTGGGGCTTCAGGTTCATTAACGTTCTGTCCCCTAGTTTCTTACAGCTTGTTAAAATCCTTTCTGTGGTCCTGTAGGAAGGCAGGAATTGCCAATGGACTTCATGGCCTACAAGTGCAGATAGTCATGCGAGGTACATGCTATAGGAAACTTGATACTTTAACGCCATTCTTTCCTTCTGTTTCTCTTCTTAGTTAATGGTATTTTATATTGTTGTTTCAATGTGGTTAGCAATCCTGAGATCTTTTTTCCTCTTTGAGGTTTCTGTTAGATTCTTTCACTGTCATTCATCTCCAGAGAACTTTCTGTTTCTCATGTAGGCATCTGTTAAATTTTTCGTCCAGAAGTTGAAATTCCCATTGAATTAATTAGTGAAAGGTCTATGCAAGGTTATCTTTTGTAAATGGCGTTGGATCTGCTTATTTCTAGAGCAAAACATTATATATATCTTTTATAATACCGGGTCATTATTCTGGTTTTTATGGTCTTGTTTCTTTACTGACACGTTCCTTCTTTGAGAAGTTCCCTGGATTTTATAATTATTTTGTCCTCGTAGATGCCCAATCCTGTCATGTTTACTCATATTGGTTGTGCCAGGAATATCATTACTTAAAGTTGGTGGCCGTATGGTCTACTCAACCTGCTCCATGAATCCGGTTGAGAACGAGGCAGTGGTTGCAGAGGTAGCGTCTCACTTATGGGAAAGAGCCCAATTCTTAAAACCAAAAATCTTTCTCGATGACATCCTTAATATTTAGCCATTATTCTGTTTTTGGAATTACCATTTCGATTTTCAAGTGGCTGGTTTTATTGTCTTATAATGATCAGCTGTGGTAATAGTTATGTAGAACTTTCTCTCAAGTAGGTCTTCAACTACGATTCAGGGAAACACTTTGGGTGTACTTGGACTCAAATTATATTATTTCAACTAAATTACTTGACCGAAACCTCTTCAGTGGCTGATAAGGTTGGGTTAATCCATCTTAAAGTGCAATTGGCTAGGAGGGTTGCTTGTCTAAGTATTTGTCATGGCTTTCCCAGAAAAATATGGTATTCTACGTGAAAGATTATACATATTATCTCATGGCCATAAATGAGCTTGGAAACAGTGACTTAGTGGATTTAAGCTAAGAGTCCATGTGTATAAGGGGCTTTATACTGCCCGTGATAGTAGCAACTTCTACTGAGAAACTTGAAATCTGACTTTATGCTTGAGCAAAGTGTGTGAGCAGTCAGGAAGCCATAATAGATGCCCTAATTGCAAGTTTAACTAAGTTAAGGATGGATATAAATTGTACAGCAGCATAAGAAAGTAATTTTCAGGTGTCGTTGTTATTGACTAACATTGCCCAACTTTGAAGTTTAGCTACCCAGCATACTTCCTTATGAAGCATGAGTTTTCCTACTATGGGAAGGTTCCTTGCATGTCCTAGCTTCCAGTTTTTATATGGGGAGCTGTAACGTGGTAGAGATGCTTCCTTATAATGCGGGATCCAGCTTGACTATTTTTATAGACGATCCATCATCTTCCTATTTGACCTGACCCTAAGAGGAAGGGTTGCTTCCCTGCTTATAGACAAAGGAGTGTTTCTAGCTCTTGGGCGTCATTAAATTATTCTATCCCTGATTGTGCTATGCGCAACATGTGCTTTTATGCCTTCTTTATTTCTCGTGCTCTGCTTATATGGGTTGTGTCTTTTGATCAATGAGCATGTAACCAATTGTCTTTCATGTTGCTGGTATTTGTGTAACCACTTTTCTTTCCACAAGGTGTGATCTTATTTTCATCTCCTATGTTGAAGATATTAAGAAGGTGTGGAGACTCAGTTGAACTTGCTGATGTTTCCAGTGAGCTCCCCCAGCTTGTTCGCCGCCCTGGCCTTCGAAAATGGAAGGTTAGGTGTTGCAATCAGACTTTATTTGTTTGTGTGCTATAGTTGTAGAATCTGCATTTTGACTGCATCACTTTGTCTCAAAAGATCTCTGGTGGTTTGTAAATGTTGAACATGCCATACAAGCTTGAATTTTCACATTCAAGGGGATCAGTAGATAAGATAGTTCAGATCTTTTGACGGCTGATGATTGCGCAAATTTGCCATTCTCATAATTTATGAATATGTGGCACAGATATTGAATGTACATTCATCATCGGCTGTTAATGGAGAATGTTTATGTTGTTAACAGGATGTATATTGCATCCAATTAAGCATAAAGAGAGGATAATTGCCTGCTTACAATCTTCTTAGCAGAAGAAGCTTATTTGGTCGAGTTTCACTGCATGAAATTGCTGTTAATATTGGAGTAGTTCGTGCCACAATCCTCTATTTTTTCCAGGTTGTTGGAACCTAGCTGGAATTTATAATTGAGTCGATCAACAGAAGAGAGATTATTTTGAAAAGTGTTGACTAACAGAAACCTTTAAGAAGGAAGGCTCTTTACTTTGAGTTGACGTGATCTTTAACTTGGATGAAGTGCAGAGGAAAGCTTATTTATGCATTGTTGAATTTTTCACTCTAATCTTTGTCTCACTTGACTAAAAGAAATCTTGTGAACTAGTTAATGCACTAGGCAATCTTAGTGTAGTTTTAGGCTTTGAAATCTGATAATGTCCATTTAGCCAAACATTTAAAGTTATTGTGGTAGTGCAGGTACGTAACAAGTTTTTCGCTTCCGTAGATTTTCATATATTTTGCTTTGGATTGCAGGTACGTGACAAGTTCTCTTGGTTTTATTCCTTCCTAGATGTTCCTGAAGCTCGCAGGGGTGGAGTTGCTTCCAGTATGTTTCCTTCTGGTAGAACACATATGGATGAGGCAATTGAACGAGAGTTTAGCAACATTAAAAATTCTAAAAATGGGTTTCGGAAGGTGGAGAATTGCCTCACCGCTGATAATGAAATTTCTGATTTTCCTTTGGAACGCTGTATGAGAATAATGCCTCATGATCAGAATGGTGGTGCCTTCTTCATTGCTGTCTTCCGAAAACTTGCTGCCTCACCAGGTAATTGTACTATATTAAAGAAAGCTATTAATTTTAGGAATAGCTAAAACTTAAGTCCTTGATTTTAGCATCATATAATAGTTGCCTCTCTAAGTTTTTGAGGCCATTCAGACATCTTAAACGGGCTTTCAAAGCTGATAGCCTACCCTTGTTAGCTGATCTGTTCGTTGATCTTAAGAAAAAATTAGTGTTTCTTTGATTAACCTTTTGAGCTCGCTTGTTTTCTGCAGCCATACATGTAGAATCAACAAGTTCACAAGGCACACTATTCACTGAAAACACTGGGCAGCTAAAAAAATTTCCAGATCAGGTCCTTCAAGAGAGTTTGCAGCTTAAAGTATTTTCGAAATCAGTTTTGGAGACTGATTTCACTGATTTTCCTGATAAGTCTGCTCTCAAGTCTGGCCATTGCAATCCTTGCACGGAGCAGCACCCTCCGAAGATCAAGGCTCCTGTTGACCAAGAAAAAGCAGAAGATAAAAGAATGTTCCAGAATCAAAGCAAGTGGAATGGAGTTGATCCGGTTGTTTTCTTAAAAGATGAAGTTGTTATCAACAGTATCAGGACATTTTATGGTATTGACGAATCATTCCCATTGAGTGGCCACCTTGTGACAAGAAATGCTGAGTCCGACCTTGTGAAGAGAATTTACTATGTTTCTAAGTCAGTCAAGGATCTTCTGGAATTGAATTTTCAAGTTGGGCAGCAACTAAAGATAGCCTATGTAGGCCAGAAGATGTTTGTAAGTATCTACTTTATGTTCTTTATCTATTGCTTAATCTGTCTGCAGCTTTTGCTTATATCATGAAATGAAAGCAGGTCCTTTCAGGTGGTTTTACAGCTTGACACATAATGGTCACCTTGAGGGGTCTACTCCAGATAAAACTCATCTTATTTCTTCTAAAGACTGTTCTAAATCTAATCCAATGCATCCACTGAGTAATAAGTGGTATCTGGCTGGGTTTCTGTTCTCTCTCATTGCCATTGGAAAATGGAAAATGACGTAGAGAACACGCTTCTTGGAAATTTCGAAACCTTTTTAATGGAAAAGCACGGAAGGTTCACTTTTACTGGCTTTGTATTGGCATGCATCTGAAACCCGTTTTCCATGTTTTCATTATGATCTTAAGAGACCAAATGTATGACCAAGCCTCTCGTTATCTGTATGATCCCACTTCGTCTTCGTGCTGTGCATGTCTACTCTCCCAATACAGACTGTGAGACCAAACTTACACATAAAAGCCCTGTGCTCTCCCTACCTCTCTCTCTCTCTCTCTCACATGTGTGGGCACACATAACTTTTCCCCTTTTGGTTCAAACTGGAACTGCTTTTGAGGGTTGTTGACCTCATGTTTTCTTTGGAGAAAAATTCATCTCAACTATGGCTTCTAACTATTGAGTTTATCACGCTATAAACTCCAGTTGCTTGGCTTAGTGATGATAGGAGGCTTCCTACAAAATTATCGACTTTAGCCCCTTCTAGTGTGGATAATTTTGTTGACAACCTCAGTGGAGCTAAGAAATTGGAAATCAGAATTTAGTGGGATAAGCTTTTTCATTGCTTTTGTAGTCCTTGAGAAGATAACAATTCACATGAACAATCTACTTCATCATTCTTTGAGTTCTCCAACCGGAATGTGCTAACATAGATATTGAATTATTTTAGATCTATTGACTCTTAAGTTTTACATTTCATCATTTTCATTTTCGAATAGAATGTCCATGATTCAGGTACCAAATATGTTTGGAGGAAAACAGAAAGTGAAGACTCATTTAAGAAAAGTTCTTGATTTTCATTTTACACTTTCCATGATGTTCATTTACGAAAAGTATGTCCATAATACTTTTACCTAATCTGTTCGAGGAAATCAGACGTGAAAACTGGATTTTTTTCTACATGAAAACTGAATTTTTTCCTCGATCAGATGGAACCTTTCTGTTTCCTTTTAGTTATTAGTTTGGTGGTTGATGTTGAGTTAGCAGATGTCTCTTCTTCCAATATGATTTGAATATGTGCTTGGTGTCATGCAATATTGGTCCGTTGTTTGAGTCTCTTCTCAATCTGTGCTTGTACATCAAGGTACCTGCTTGGCAACAAACAAAAGAAAAACTAGGTACCTGTATTTCCAGAAACATCAATTTGATTTTTTCTTTTAAACTACAGGAGAGAAAGAAGTCAAAAGAAGATCCTTCTGCCTCGTGCCCATTCCGGATATCTTCTGAAGGATTGCCTATTATTCTCCCACACGTCACTAAACAAATCCTGCATGCTTCGCCCACAGACTTTGGGCATCTTTTGCTCTACAAGAGCAGGAAATTTGAAAATTTTGTCAATTTTGAGTTTGGGGAGAAGGCATCAAAGCTAGAGCTGGGTTGCTGCGTGGTCGTCCTGAAGAAAGGTCAGTAGAATCAATTCACCGTTCATGCTTTAGTATTCGAAATGTCCGTATGTAGTATTTGAACATTCCGTTTTGTGCAGATGGTGAATTGCCATTCAGTGACACTCGGGTGGATGAATCCATGATAGCAATTTTATGCTGGAAGGGTAAAGTCAGTTTGAATGTGATGGCCAGTGATAATGACTGCCAGGAACTACTACAAAGGCTTCGACTGTGTGAAGGAAGCGGAAAGGAGTCTCCTCTACATGTTAACAAGCCTTCTGAAAATTCAGATGGAGACAATGAAAAGAAAGATCTACTCTGCTGACTTAATTGAACTCATGGACCATCTACTCTGGTTCTGCTAATTTTTGTCCTACCTATTGATCACACAAGGTCGGTCAGTCCTGGTGTTTTCTTATATTACTTCTCTAGCCACTTGGGCGATGATTCTTTTGACTCGGATACAATTTATTGATCATTTGCCTCCCTATAAAGGACAAATCATAACTAATCTCGTCTTTCATTCAAAATTTACGTCTCATCAGTCGGCCGCATCATATCTGTTCTGTTTTTCTGATGCCTCTATGCTCTGCTCCTGATGGCAATAGCAAGAAATATCTTTTTAACTCCCTTTTCAACTTTCATAGGCATGCCCTGTTGTTACTGGAAGCAAGCAAAAGGGTTAAACAAAAACAGATTGAAGGGGCGTTGGTTTGGCCGTTGGATTTCATGTCAACTGCTTCGGCAAATCGTTAGTATTACAGGTTTCAGAGCCGGGAAATTGAAAGTGATTATTCCATTTTCAGGACACGGTGCTTTAGAAAGAATGCTAGAGGGCAAAACTTTAAACTAGTTTTTTTGAAATACCTTTCTTTCCTTCCACAAGAGAAGACTCTAGAAAAGAGAGTAAATGAACACATGGTAGGTTTCGCAGGCCAAAACAAACAAACAAACACACCGTAGGTTTTGATTTTTAAGATACACATGTTATCATGCTAAATATATGGACTGAAGCAAAACATGTAACATACACAGAATGGGCAAAATTCTCGAAAGAAGAAGAAAAGCCCAACTTTTGTTTTCAAGAGTTATGAGACCCTGGTTCTAGTTGGTTGAACTTAAGGAGATATTCAATTCAATTATTCAAATCCACAAGCTATATGCAAATTGCTATGAGTCAGAGTCATTTGCATGGGCAAAAAAAACCCGGACTTGGCATGTTTATGAGACTTGTAAGGTAATTCATGAGTTTTCCGTTCCGAGTTCCTTGGGTCCCTATGTTCGTGTCCTTGAGTTTTGAGAGCAAATGTCGAAACGGTACATGGACAATTGGAATTTCTCTTTTTTGGGGGCCAAAACAATCAATAAACATTTTGTGCATAGGTTTTTGGTAGTGATTTGGGAATAGGGGGTGGTGAGAAACGTCGGTGACATTGCCTCAGTCTATGAGAAACTTGGAACAGGATCTAATCTATAGCCTCTGTACCACACTTCCTTTAAATGCATGAGAAACATGTCTTTGTCTGTCATGCACGACGTAGCTATCCACCTTTGTGTATAATGATGAACGATGATGTGACATCCAAATTGACAACTCACCTGCATTTCCTTTGAATGTGGGTTGCACCACACATTTGAGAATGAGATTAACTCTTTGGCCCAAAACGATACATTATAAACTGTCACGCCGCATTTTAAATGATGATTTCGATTTATCACAACCACCTGATTGCCCAATATTGTGTCGGAAAAGTAATTAATCCGTCAATCTTGTAACTTGAGCTTCCCAGATGCCAAACAATCGACGAGTGAGATAGAGATCTTCTTAATTTGTCCGATAGATTAGTTAATCCCAAACTTAATCCCAAACCACCAATCTCTCTTCAATTAAAAAAAAAGAAGAAAATTAAACACAAATAAGAGAGAAGGTCAATAACATCCCAAACTTTCTCAGGTAATAAGCTGCTCTAGAAGATATTCCGTGCTCGGCATGCATCAACAATCCACTACTACGTCCAAAGTCCCCTAAAGGGCCAAAATGGGAGCTTGCATGAAATATCACTTTTGAAGACAAAAATCATTCAATGAATATGCACCCCAGTTAGGTCTATTGTCTCTGTGACCTCACGAAACACACTATTACAATCAGCAGTATAACCCCACCACTCTTCTAATATGTAGATATACATCGAATATAAAGCACACATGACACATATGAGGAAAAATTGCTAGAGCATAAGAGGAAAATCACATCGAAGTACCATCATGATCCACAACACATTTTGTTCTTGGCTGGGATTTCTTGGGCAGGACCCGGGATGATGATCTTTTTGCCAGCCAAAGATGCAGGATTGCCATTAGTTTGGCTCTCTCCAGCAACTAGGCTCTTCTTGTTGACAATGTTGAATATCTCGGTCAAGACAGTCAAGAATGCGCTTTCGACATTGGTAGCATCCAATGCAGAGGTCTCCAAGAAAAAGAGCCCTTCCTTCTGGGCAAATTCTTTGGCGTCCTCAGTGGGCACTGCACGCTGGTTCTCAAGATCGGTTTTGTTACCAACCAGAATGATGACGATGTTCTTGTCAGCATGGCTACGCAGCTCGTCCAACCAGCGAGGTATGTGATCAAAGCTCTGCCTCCTGGTTATGTCATAAACAAGCATTGCCCCCACGGCACCCCTATAATATGCACTCGTAACAGCTCTGTATCTGCTCATTACCCGCAAAAGAAAAATGTGATCAGCAGAAAAATATTATCGCTTTAGTGCACACAATTAACAATGCGAAGAAGTTATTGTGTGCCAGCTCTAACAGAGCACTGAATGAAAAAGAGAGTCTTCCCATCAGTTCCAATGGCTATTACGATTACAACAAAAAGAAGTTCCATTTTTAATTTATATTCGGTCTTCAAGTCTTGATACTTGGGGAATGCATTTGGGTGATTTTGAAGCTTGAAAACCTTGTTAGGAGACTAACTTGACATTTAGTAATCTGTATACCTTTCGCATATGTTAAAAAAAAAAATTGATAGGAGAGTCTTATATGTAACGCATACACAACCTGTCATGGTCAAAATAGCATCATATACTCAATCAAGCATCCTTCTTTTCTGAAGATGTGGATCACATATGAAGTAAATGTTTAGTTTGCTAATTGAAACAGCATCTCAAGATGACTCAAGCAGTAAAACGGGGAACTAATTCATCTATGCTCTGACTTCCGGCCTATCAAGTACTTACTAATTCAAGAAAACAAAGCACCCAAGAAACCCACACAAAATTCCTGAATCCTACCATGTGCGCTAGCATATAATACTTCATAATAGCATCTTTTGCCATAAAAAATGACATTAAAAGACGACTAGACCGTGCTCTACTCCAGCCACAAATAGATACAACATCAAATTTACTGTATTTGTTCGCCTTTCCAGTTATTCACCACCTCTATGCAATGTCTGTCTTTTTACAGAAAAGTGACATCATACACACCTATGGACATTTAAGCAGCTTTGACAAAAATGAACAATTATTACTATGGGGTGGGGGATGGAGAAAACTCGTCCAAACAGCCTCCCCTGTCATCCACTCGTTAAAGTTACCACTACTTGCTGATCTTGAAAGAGAAAACATAGGAATCTACACCCACGAACAAAGCCGCTATGGATACGTATCTTTCAAGACCATTCATGCCTACTTCTCCCACTTCGAACATTTCTTCGCATTCATGTCTGCAAACTAACAGAATGACTGCACCACCAGTTAAGCTAGTTGGAAGAATCCACTCACGAACTAAGAACAACAGTAGATTATGCTTCACTTCGCGAAATTATTCAAACACTAAGATGTAAGAGGAAAAACACTCAGATCCCACAACACTCGTTTAGCAACAGCATATACTTAGAGACCCTCGTCAGACTAACCCGAGTGCCACAACTATTGCCCGAGCTTCAACCACAAGTGCATCAGCAAAAAGCCAACCGAACCCATCATCAGCCATCACCCACAAGATTCACAAGCCCAAGCCCACGCGCATTTCCCTCTCAGATCTCATTCAAATCAAGATCCGGCAATTAGAAACAAACCCACGAGAGCACCGACGACAAAAGGGAAGAAGAGGGGAAGGAAGGGAAGGAATCACCGTTCTTGGCCGGCGGTGTCCCAGATCTGGGCCTTGACGCTCTTGTGCTGGATGAGGAGGGTCCGGGTCTGGAACTCGACGCCGATGGTGGCCTTGGAGTCGAGGCTGAACTCGTTCCGGGCGAACCGGGAGAGTATCTGGGACTTGCCGACGGCGGAGTCGCCGATGAGGACCACCTTGAATACGTAGTCGATCTTCTGGCTCGCATCCCCGTAGCCTCCTCCGCTCGCCATTGACGACCGACGACAAACTCCGGGGCTCGCCCTCCTTTCTCTCTCTACGTCACACGCACTCACAGACACACTCTCTCTCTCTCTCTCTAAGTTGTTGTCACTGTGGAGATCTCCGAGGCTAGAGAGAGAGAGAGAGAGACAGAGACAGGGGTAGACAGAGAGGGAGATGAACTGCTTGCTGTTCTTGTGTTTTATGTTTGATGGGGGGGAAGCGAAAGGAGGAGAGAGAAGGAGAGCAGCTTTTTCTGGTGAGATGTTGAAGATGATTAGACTCGAATGACCCCCGATAACTGCGGGGCCTGCGGATTTGCCTCTTCCTTTTATTCATGTTTTTTCAATTCAACGGGAATTTAATCGACCGATTTCCGACGAAAATTGACTCGAGTTTTACGGAGACGAACACCGATGAGCGTTTCGATAAATAAATTTGCGGTTTATAAGTAGAGTTATTCTCGTGTCGAATATAATTGGCACATCGGAAATGAAAATGCGTTTTTCTTTCGTGAAAACGCTCGTTGTTAATAATAATAATACATCCTCTCTTTTTCCGATGGCGATGGTCGACATGAAACCGCAGCATATGTAGCTGTAAATCGCGAGTCCTCTCGTCGTGGAAATTAGATCCGTGCTCTCGACGTTCCACGGAGGAGCGTTTCGTATGTTAAGTCCGTCGCGTGCGACGGCGACACGTGGGGAAAAAAAGGGTAGAATTTCAAAATTCAAGTTAGAAAATTTCGTTTGATGATCCCGAGCAGGATCTTAAAAGACTCGAGAGAAGATAAGGAAGGAACTCCTCATAATTTCTCTTCGTATTCCTTCTCTTTCTGGAAAAAAAAAAAAGATAAGGAGGGAACTTAGAGGCTCCAGGTGGGAATGGAAAGGTAGACTCGACATCAGTTTCGATTAGGCATGCATAGTAGCTTTTCGCGCCCGGGAGCACATCGTAGCCTCCCGCTATTTCGTATGTTAAAGTCCGTCGCGCGCGACGGCGACACGTGGAAAAAAGGTAGAATTTCAAAAATTCAAATAGAAAATTTGTTCGGTGCCCATATTTTCTTTTCGAAATTGATTTTTTTTTTTAATATTTAATATATATTTTTAAAGTTAGGATTGGTGTTCGAAAAAGCAGAGGGAGTTGGGGTTGGTGTTTTAACAGAGGAGATTTAAGGGGTGGGTAGTGGCATGGGGATGCGTGCGACGAAAATTCTGCGCATGTTGCTTGATTGGTATTTGTAGCTGTCTCCTGTTTTCGACATTGTCGGAAGGCTTTGGGGTTGCTTTGCTCAATTAACAAGTTTCAAATTTCGCTCCACAAAAATTAAGAGAGAATAAAAAAGTAAGACCAGTATTTATTTTGTCAAAGAGAGAAAAAGAGATGAAAGGTTCTTCAACTTTTTAAAATTGTCCATTTAAGGTGCTTGAACTTTTTTTTTAAAAAAATTATAATTGAGCCTCTAAGTTACATATATTAATTTTTTCTGTTCGAAAACTGAAAATTTGAATAAAAAGAAAGATCTCAACCCAGGCCAAATCAGACTTGGGGTTGGTGATCCCTGACCTAGCGTCGCCGGCGGGAGTCATGTGACCTCCTTGAGACAAAAGTCGAAGGTTGCGCGACCCTAGCAATTGGTGGCGTGGGTCACGCGATCCTCTGCCTTGCTTGGCGGGGATCGCACGACCTTAGACTAAATCTAGCTTGGGTCGTGTTATTGAGAAAATATTTGGTGGTTTCAAGGTATCACGTCATCCGGTCACGTGATGTGCGTGAATCTAGTCAGCTACACTCAAAAGGTTACGTCGATATATGCTCTCTTTTCTCTCTCGTATTCTACGGAAAGGCTTGAGCACAAACAACAATATATGACGACATTGATTGCTTGCTTTCTCTCTCTCTTCTACGTAACAAAACTCGATGAAATCCTATGCGTTTTGATATCTCTCTTCTACAGCAAAGGCTTCCATTCTCTCTGCCTCCCGCGAGGCCCTTTCTCAATCCCTCACTCACCTCAAGCTCTCCCCTCCTCCTTCTTCGCCTTCGTCCTCGTCGCTTTTCCGGCTCCGGCTCCAGAAACCGCCGACTGGCCTCTCGAACTCTTCTTCGTCTTGTAATCTTAATTTGGTCCCGATTTCGGGTTCGGGTATGTCGCCAATGATTCTGAAGTGGAAGAGGCTTACGAGGCTGGATATACCGGTGGCGGCGCTGAAATTTGGGGTTCCGGCGACATCGGCGATATCTGCGAGGGATATTGTGGCGGAGGCGAGTGAGGGTCCATCCTCGATTCTTACTGATGCATGATTGGGTCCATTGTCGCAAAGTTGTTGTGCGATTCTTCTTTTTATCCTTTGCATCTTTTTGTTTATTTCTAGGCTAAGTGGATGAGCTTGCTTGAGATGTTATTTTATTGTCTGTGTTCATTGGGTCTGATTGCCTAGAGGAAAAGAGTTGACAGGCAAGTGAACGACTTGGAATCTGGGACCGCAAACCCAAAAGAATAGGATGAAGATGACCCTTCTAATTAACAAGAATGCGTATGGCAACCATTCTATTCCCGAAAATAATTTCTATTCAGAAATGATTCTTTTTGATTCAGTACTCAAGAATAATTTCTAAGCATTTCAAAGTGTTTGGTAACTGCCCAAAATTTATATTTTTGGAATAGAAAAAGAATAGAAATGCATTTGGTAATTGCACAAAATTTCTTTTTAATAATAATATTTAATAATATTTTGAATTTTTTAATATTTCTTTCTTTTTATTTCTTCTTCTTCCCCTTCCTTGGCCATGGCCAGGTTGCCGGTGCTGGCGACCGGCCACAGGCCAAGCCGGTGAGGGTGTTGCGGCCCTCGCTGGCCACAGGCGAGGGTGGCTCGTGGCTTAGGTGAGTGCTGCCTTTGCCAGATCCGGCGAGGGTGGCTAGCGGCGAGGGCGGCTAGCGGCAAGGGCGAGAGCTACCCTTGGCGGCCTGGGCGAGGGTCGCCCACGCTAGATCAGGCAAGGGTGGCCCTCGCTGGCCACCGGCGAGGGTCGCGACGCCCTCGCCGGCCCTTGTCTTTGGTCGGTAGCTGGCTACCGGCGGTCGGCGACCGGCTACAGGCCAGGAAGAAGAAGAAGAAGAAAAAAAAATTTATTTTTCATTTCTGATTCTTGTTTCCAGAATCAAGAAGCAACTTTGTTTTGCTTTTTGATTCTGGGAATAAATTTTTGCAAATTTGTGCCCGAGAACAAAATATTTATCAAACGGATTTTTGTTCCAAAACTGATTCTGAGAACAAAAAAAATAGAAATAGGTACTGTTTGGCCGGTTGCCAAACGCGTCCTAAGTATCAAGTGACGCCATTTTATTGAAAGTGTGAGGAGTGGAGATAACTAAGACCAGACTTCCATATTCTGACATCATTCTCGGACCATTAGCTGGCTGGTGTATGAAGAATGATTGTTTGATTTCACGACTAATGAATCAAGCCCCAGAATTTTCTTTTCCTTTTCCCTTGACCAAACAAAGGAATGAGCTGATGAATATGGAGGGCCTCCACAACCATATTCTTCTCGACTTGTCTGCACCAGTGAATTTGATATCAGGTCAAGTCTATTGAGAAGCGAGTGAATTACGTGCCTGAGGCAAGAGAAGAAAGCATGTGTATCATGTCCCTTCGATCTTTTAATGTTGGACCTTCTCTATCACGTAATTGTCGGTAGCTAGCATCTCTTTCTCATTTCCAGAAAATAGCCGGGACATGGAGGAGACCTTTTTCTTCTGCCCATCTCTAGTTGTAGCTGGGAAGCACATTATGCATATAGTTAAGCGAACGTTTTGCTCGATATGATGTAGCGATTTAAGTGTGCTTTGCAGAGTGCTTGACAAAAAGCGTCGGTGTCAGACAATACCGCAAAACCATTATTTTTGAAGGACATAACATAGGGTTATGGCTTATGGGTATTTTAGCCACTCTGTGGAAGCTGCTAAACTTTCTCAAGGACAAGCATCTATCAAGAGCACTTGCACAAAGGTACTGGAGTTTCTCCAGTTCACGCTTGCAAATGGGTTGATTGCATGTTGAATGACAAAACTAAGAACATTATTCACTAGAGACAGGTCACAGCCTGTCCCCCGAAAAAACAATACTTGGCCTTCCCCTCCACTCAAAATTGCATCATTGGAGAAATTTTCGAGCCGAGGAGAGAGAGATAGTCACGGGCCTATGAGGTTTGGTGTGCAGACTCTTATATACCCTGTGGCTTCTGATTACTGTAAGGGGTCATGCACAAGAATTGGCTTGAATAACGCATGGCTACATGTAGCCAAACCACAGGCACACACCAAAGCAGCTTATCACCCCACGTTGTGGTCCAATGAGCAGAGGGACTTTCAACAAAAGTAAAGAACCTTTAAAAAAAAAAGGTCGCAGGGAGAGCCCTAGTGGTCCATGAAGACATCTCCAATCTGGGAACAGAACCTAGAGGAAAGCTAATCCCTGCCTACTTCACCATGAGAGACTAGCAAAGAATATCAAGCGCATGAACATGGCTCAACTTATTGAGATTGTCCCAAAAACACTCTTCACCATCGGATAAACATCTCGAGCTCGTCTATGTTGCTTCCTTGGATATGGCATTGAGCATAAAGAGTATAGGTGTTGGGATCCTGTCTCTAATTGACTTCGCATTTCTTGTCATGTTACTTTTTAGGGACATAAGATATTCTCGTCTCTCAATCCTTTTGCATCCTCTCCAACTGTTCGCTTCTTCGCCAATCCTTCTGTCGATTTATTTCCTGAAGATGACACAGTTGAATCTTCCTCTTTGCAATTGTCCTCTCCTAATCTTGATGTAAGTATCTCCGGTTATCCCACTTTGGCAGTTCTTGACATGTCTGTGCCATCCGCGGATTCTCCACCCTTGCACGATCCTTCTTCTCCCATTCATCGTTCCACCCGTGTAAGTCAATTTTTTGTTCGGCTTCGTGATTTTCACTGTTATTCTACCATTGTTTCTTTTCATGAGCCTCACACATTTGGAGAATCTCGTTCTAATCCTCCTTGA